AGGAATCAGAATATGCTCCCTTCACAATCCCCACATTGTGCTGCAAGGAAACACAGTCTGCATTAGCCAATCAGGGCTGCCCTATGCATTGCTGCCACCTGTTGCCAGGCAGGCTAAGGAAGCCTGGAGAGCACACTGAGATGTGTGAACAGACAGCTGGATGGTGTCAGCAGTACAAACTCTCCACTCCTCAGGGTCTCAGCATTTGAATGTCTGTACACATGGCTCTGAGTAGATTTTTTGTACTGGGAGAATATACTTGGGAGAACTCTCCTAGATTATTTGAATGTGCCATATGCAGCGTGTGTCTACACACAAAACTAGTCTTGCCCTACAACTCAGAATATTATTCCTACTCCTTTGTACAGTGGACTATGAAGCTGTTTAAACATTTCGAACAGTGTTGCATTTCTAGGCAAAGTATCACCAAGTCAACATTGTTTGTTTATTGTGCCACCAGAATCCAGGAGAGACTTGTGAGATAAAATAAGCAATCAAATATGCAGGAAAATTTCCACTTCAAACTAGTTCCTCCATCCATCCCCCATTTTTCTTTTGAAGCCAGGGTGCTAATTTTGTGGAAAAATGAGCTCTGTTAATTTCCCCTGTGGTATAATTGCTGTGTTCAAGCAGGCCATTTATTCTTTGTTTCTTAAGTATTATTCCAAGGTAAACTCTATAATCTCTTACCCAGCAATACCACTTGGCTTGTGCAAGTCTTTTTTCCCCTCCTCTTTTCCTCTTCTCCTAAAACCATTCGGAGGTCAGTTCTGTATTTGTCTGGCATGTTATGAGAACAGTGCAGCTTTTTGCAAATATGTGGTTTTTGGGCAAGCTGTAGTTTGGGCATATTTTCTAGCAGTTTTCTTTCTTAACATTACTCACTCTGTGGCAGTTTTATTGAATTGTAGTTTGGAAAGTATTAATAAATTATTTACATTTCAATTACTTTGTCCTCTTAATGTGATGAAGTCATCCTGGGATACTTGTGCATAAATCATTTAATCAGTTTCGGGACTTTTTAAAATCCATTGAAGATACCACCAGTTCTTTATGCATGATGATTTTGGTCCAAAGCATTAAGTGAACTTCCTCCTGAAGAAACTAGTTTCTCTGCCTGTAATACTGTTGCAGTCAAGGGATTATATAAAACAAAATGAAACTAATAATCATAATTGCAATGCAGCATCAGGTTTAATCATTCATTCCACAATCAATAGGTTAGCAAAGATTGGCAAATGGGGTGGGGGTCGAATCAATGTCCCCAGCCTCCCCAAACTCACGCAGGGAAAGCTTTGTAGTAACCACAAGCCAAAACAGAATTACCTGTTCTTGCCAGAAATCACTGTTTTGTTGTGTTTTGTTTTTTCCTGGAGATGGAGGGAATGAACTAGCTTATCATTTCAACATCAGTGGAAACAGAAAATGTTGCATTTTATTATAGGTTCGGGAGCTGCAAACACGTTTACAGAGTGTTCAAGCAACAGGGCCATCCAGCCCAGGGCGCCTCACTTCTACAAACCGACCCGTTAACCCCAGTACAGGAGAGCTGAGCACAAGCAGCAGCAGCAATGACATTCCGATTGCCAAGGTGAGCTATTGTGTGCTGCAGTAATGCCTCTCATTATCTGGAAGAAGCAGACTTCATTGTGCACAGCTGCTGTGCAGGCATGCAATTAACTGGGAGGTATCATCTGGAGTCCCAGGGGTGTTTTCAAGGGTCCTAAGCAGGTCCATGAACTTGAGCTGCAGAAAGAGATAACGCACTAATAATTTTAAGTCTCTCTCAGTCACAACACAGATGCCAACTTACGTTTATCAATTTAAGATTTCAAAATGTGGTCGGTATGTGAACAATGATATATTTTGCACATCTGTGCAGAACATGGGGTTCCTGTCTGTAACTTATGTGGTATTGTGACTTCCAGATTGCTGAACGAGTGAAGTTGTCAAAGACAAGATCCGAATCTTCTTCATCTGACCGACCGGTCCTAGGATCAGAAATCAGCAGTATAGGCGTGAGTGTTGCAAATAAGTTCACAAGAAGTTCATCCTAGCTCTAGTAATGGTGACTTTTGTTCTATTAAAAAGGAGAACAAATATTTAATTAATTTAAATACGATTTAATTAAAAATATTTGAAATCTTATTTTTTGAAAAGTATTTAACAGGTGAAGAGGAATAATTAACACCCACTTCTCATACCCTACTGTCATTTTGAAGTCCATACAGTTGCCATGAACCATGTTCTTCAAACCATTCCTCCTATGAGTTAATTCTCTTAACTTCAAGGGGACGATGATTGTGAATGAAGATTACCCATGAGTGAGGGTGGTTCACTTGCACCCCAAGTTAGTCTGACATCTCTAAAAGAACAGTAGACCAAATTATAGCGATATACATACACCAGTGTAAATTCAAAATGTCATTTGGCACTCTAGGTTTACACGTGGGTCATTAATGATGGAGATTAACCCTGCTCAGATTTTTTGAAGGTATAGAACGTAAGAAGTCTTCTTAAATCTGTCAGTAAAAGATTGCTAAAATATTCCTCGCCAGCAAGATGGGCTTTTAAATTTAACC